GCCATTATCTTCTTCTCAACCTCTATTTCACTGATGACTATTTTCATATTTTAACTTGAGAAAAAAATCCATAAATGAAGATGGGGGTAGGATTTATGCCTGTCCCAGCTACGTAGGAAGCATCAATCAAGCAGATCATGATTTGAGGCCAACCAGGTCAAGGAAGTTTGTGAGACTACATCTTCACCAATAAAATGTAGCACGGGGAAGAGTGTCTGTCATTTTAGCTATACAGGAGGCATAAATGGGAGGAACTTAGACCAGGCCATCCTAGAAAAAAACATAAGACACAATTTTAAAAATAACTAAAGCAAAAAGTCATTGGTGTATAGCTCAAGAGGTACAGTGTTCATCTACCAAGCATGAGACCTCTGAGTTCAACCACTAAAATAAAATATTTATACAAAAATTTACTCATTTTTGTACTTAACCTTCTTGCATATACATTGCATTGTATGAAAATCTATGTTTCTTCCTTACATTTAACTCTAAAAGGCCATCCTCTCTTACTGATACAAGTTGCTGCTGCAAACTGTCTTATCAGCTCCTAAATCCAGTTTGTAGCCCTTACTAATTTCTACCAGCATTCAAAAGTACTCCTAAAAAAATCCCTCAGGAAATGTACTCATTATCTTGCCCGTGTAATTGTAACCCCTCTGTACAGTATTTTCACAATAAAAAAAAAAGAAAAACAAAAAGAAAAAAAATCCCTCAGGTTCAGTGTTGGTTACATAGGTCATGTTAGAGCATGTACTTAGTGAGTAAGGCCTTGGGTTCAATAATGCAGTATGGAAAAACAAAAGCAAAAACTCTCCTGCTCCATATGCCCTTATAATGCTATATTTCTCTGGTCCCCTTTTAGGCCAAATTTCTTGAATTAGTTACAGTATCTCTGCTTTATCATCCCCACTTTTTTAAACCCAGTCCAAGGGGACTTTGATCTCACAGCTCTACCAAGAGGTGCCAAATCCAGTGTTTTTATCCTCCCCAACTCTCTCATCAATACTCAACTGGAAATTTTTGTCTTTTTTTGTTTCTGTTGGTCATAGGGTTTGAACTCTGGGCCTGGGTGCTGTCCCTCAGCTCTTCAGTTCAAGGCTAGAACTCTACCAACTTGAGCCACAGTGCCACTTCCGATTTTCTGATAGTTTATTGGAGATAAGTCTCCCGGACTTTCCTGCCTGGGCTGGCTGTAAACTGCAATCCTCAGATCTCAGCCTCCTATGTAGCTAGGATTACAGGTGTGAGCCACTGATGCCTGGCTATTTTTTTGTTTTTGTTTTTGTTTTTCCTTTTTTGTCTTTTGACATGCAACCTTCTATTAGATTCTATGATATCCCCTCTTTCACTGAGGTCCTCCGTCTGTTTCTAGGGCCAGTCCCTCTTGATCACATTAGCTGACTCATCCCTCTGTTTGACTTATAAATGAGGCCACCATGGAAAGCTCAGTCCTGGGCCCCTGCTTATCTATTTGCACTCTTTCTATGTATCATCTATTCTCATGGCTTTTTGTGTCTGCAAGTCCTGGGTCTTAAACTGGTCCTGGATGCTGTCCCAGAGAGAGTTTGCTCAAGGCTAGCACTTACCACTTAAGCCACCACTCTACTTCCAGGTTTTTGGTGGTTAACTGGAGGTCTCACATAATTTCCTGACTGAGTTGGCTTCAGTGATCTTCAGATCTCAGCCTCCTGAGTAACTAAGATTATAGGTGTGAGCCACTGGTACCTGACTTAAAATGCAGGTTAAACAAATAGATTATATGTTCATGGTAATCATAAGACCTGACTTCTACACTGAGTCCTGAGTTTTTCCCAGAATCTTAGATTCTGATTTTTTTTCTTAGTATCTTTACTTGGTGATCCAAGAAGCAGTTCAAACAATATGGTAAAAAATAAAACAATAGCAGGATGTCCATGGCTTGAGCCCGGTAATCCTAGCTACTCAGAACTCTGAGATATGAGAATCACAGTTTGAAGCCAGCCTGGGTAGAACAGTCCCTGTGAGACTCTTACCTCCAATTAAAACTGGAAGTGACACTGTGGCTCAAAGTAGTAGAATGTTAGCCTTGAGCAAAAGAGCTCAGGGCCAGTGCCTAGGCCTTGAGTTCAAGCCCTATAACTGACAAAAATAAAATAAGTAAAACAATGTTTGTCCTAATCTGTTTCTTCCATACCCTTTCTTTTCCTTAGTAAAATATATCACGGTCTACCTAGGTGCTTCAGCCCCAATCTTAGGAGTTTCTTTTCTTATTCCATGATTCCTATATTTTATTCAATGTCTGTCAATAAATTTGGTTTTATTTAATAATTTAAAAATTATCTTTAAATAGTTATACATTGGGGGTTTTAATTCAACATGTCAATTTATATAAATAGTGCATCTTTACAGTGTCAACACTTTTGGTCAATCAGTCTTGACTCTTTTGCCACCAAAATATATCCTGAATGTTAGTTATTTTTCTCTACATCTTCAGGACTACTCCCTGATCCAAATAATTACCATCAGTTGCCTGCACTACAGTATTTCACTGCTTTTTCTACTTCCATCTCTGGCACACACAGCCAGGGATATCTCTCACAAATAGTAATGTGTTACTTCTGGGCTCCAGAAATCTCTAACAGGCTGAACACTTATGGCTCACACTTATAATCTTAGCTACTCAGGAGGATGAGGTCTGAGGATCTCAGTTCACAGCCAGCCCAGGCAGGAAAGTCTGTGAGACTCTTATCTCCAATTAAACACCAGAAAACCAGAAGTGGTGCCATGGCTCAAGTGGTAGAGTACTTGCCTTGAGCTGAAGAGCTCAGAAACAGCACCCAGGCCCAGAGTTCAAGCCCCAAGAGTGACCTCTTATACCATATCCTCTTTCACTCAGTTATACAAGCTTTCTTTCAGCTCTTCAGGCTAGTTCTCCAACCTAGAGCTCTGCATCATTTCTTCTACCTTTGGTGCTGCCTTTGTCATCTCATCTACTCATTCATTTGCTGGTTTATGTACTATCTTCTTGGCTAAGCTCAAACTACATTAAATCACCAGCCACATGACAGTATTACTATCTGATTTTTCATCTTCCATTTTACTTTACCTGATATTTCTTCATTTATTTTATTTTATTTTTTTTGTGCTAGTATTTGGTTTTGAACTCAGGGTTACACACTCTCACTTGGCTTTTATGTTCAAGGCTGGTACACTACTTGAGGCATATCTCCACTTTCAGTGTTTTGATTGTTGACTGGAGATAAGAATCTCACAATAAACATAGTTGTGCTGGTAGCTTTAGTGTGGTCTTATTTGTAAACATTTGGGTAAATGCCCAAAAGTGGGATTGCTGGGTCATAGGGGAGCTCTATGTGAAGTCTTTTCAGGAACCTCCATACTGCTTTCCATAGTGGTTGAACAAGTTTACACTCCCACCAACAATGAAGTAAGGTTCCCTTCTGTCCACATCCCCTCCAGCATCTGTTGTTGTTAGAGTTCTTGATTATAGCCATTATATTAAGTGAAGTAAGCCAAGCCTAAAGAAACATTGGTCCCATGGTTTCCCTTATTTGCAATATCTAGTATATGTTTGAGTCAAGCAGAAAAGGCCAGATAATGTGATGTTAGGAAAATGAACCCTTAGATATGTATTTAAATGTTTTTTTTCTTTCATGCATTTGTTTCTAACGCATTTATAAGATTATTTCTTTGTAGCTTTGTATGTCCCTCCCCCACAGTATAACTCCTGCTTTCACTAAATTTGATGTCGGTATAATTTGTGGAGGAGATGGGGAAAACAAGTCGTTTAAGGATACAGGTGGATCCGTGGCAACTATGAGAAGTACAAGTTGTCATGTCGAAAACAAACTTTACAACTTTGGTGTGGGGGAGGGGTAGGGAGGGATTGAGTAGGGGGTGAGGGGAGGCTGGGAAGAGATGTGAAGGGTAAACAAAGGAGGTGGCTGCAATGCTTGATAAGAAATGTACTCATTATCTTGCCCATGTAATTGTAACCCCTCTGTACAGTATGTTCACAAAAAATAAAAATTAAAATTAAAAAAAAGAATCTCATAGACTTTTCTGCATATCCTGGTTTTGAACAACAATAGTCAAATCTAACCTTGTGAACAGCTAGCATAAGCCACTGAAGCCCTGCTAAATTTTAAAATATTAACTTTTAAAACTGCTCTCTCTTGAGCCAGGCACCAGGCAGGAAAGGCTATGAATCTCCAATTAATCACAAAATTAATAATCCAACAATAACAAACTAATGGAAGTAGAGCTGTGGTACAAGTGGTAGAGCACTAGCCTTGAGCAAAAAATCTCAGGGGCAGTGTTCACCTTCTGAGCTCAAGCTCCAGGACCAGCATCCCCTTTTCCCCCGTCCACCCAAAAAAGTTCTCTTTTACTCTTCAAGAGAATATAAGCTCAATTAGAATAGGGACTTGGGGGCTGGGAATATGGCTTAGTGGTAGAGTTCTTGCCTAAGAGGCATGAAGCCCTGGGTTTGATTCCTCACTACCACATAAACAGACAAAGCTGGAATTAGCACTGTGGCTCAAGTGGTAGAGTGCTAGTCTTGAGCAAAAGAACCTCAGGGACAGTGCTCAGCCCTGACTTCAAGCCCCAGGACTGACCAAAAATCCCCCCCCCCAAAAAAAACAGGGACTTGATCTGTCTTGTCCACTACTGAATATATAACATGTTGAACAGTGCCTGGCACAGTAGATACTAAAAAACAATTACTGAGTGAAGATTAGAACCACCTTGAGAAGCACTTAAATTAACATCATTATTGTAAATGAATATCATATTTTAGCTCAAATTTTCCAGGAGCCAAATAATAATGTGCCCAGGAGAAATATTAAAATATCATTCTGCCTGGTAAAACACAGCTGAATACACATGTTCATGGTACCTATTAAAGATATGATCCTTTTATTCCTTAGGATGAAAGAATGAATGTTCATTTGTCTTCCACATGGAAATGATAATTATTAATTAGAAAAGATCTGTTTTTTTTTTCCTACACCAGTTTTATTAAAACACAAATTAAGTATTTTTCTTTCTGTAATGGCAAATGGTTCAAATAATGCTGAACATGAATCATTGACTAATACAAGGGCTTTAAATATAGGAACAAAAATTAACTTTTCAAAAGTCAAAGAATAAGGTTATATACAAACGGGACTTGGAATCTATATGCTGATTCCAAAACTGCAATGCATCTGTGAACTCTGCGGAGAAACAAGAGCGTTCCACCCCTGCTGTGGAGAAGGGCCGTCACACAGCATTCGGTCGACTGAAGACGGACTGGCAGAGATGTGTCTATACATATATTTCAAGTCATTTTTGCTTGTGCAGAATCATCCAGATCTTCCCAAGACTGAATGAGCAGTCCTGTGGCTTTCTTCCTTTTCCATAATCCCAACAAGGCTACAATGAAGTTCAACTCTCGATGAGCCGCTTACAACAGCAGTTCCTTAGGAGCCAACACGACCGGTGGTTCAGATTTCCCCATGAGAAATAAACTGTCCACCTAAAGCAAAGTATCAAAATGGACAGGTCCTTCTTTCCTCCTCCAGGTTATGTACAACACGTCTCCTTTCAAGACCACTACCCCATCTTACTTGTTCCTTCACAAGTCTAAACCTTGAGGTGATATGGAGACCAGTATCAACAAAAGAGAATTCAATTGCCAAATTAAGGAAACTGGAAGGTATACAATACACCCCCCAGAGCTCAATATCCCTGCTACAGTACAGTTCAGTGTACTGGCTATAGGCCAGAAATATTGGCAGCTTGAGTTTATTGTTTTTCTCCTCCAGTATTAAAGGGCACCAAAGAAATACTGGGCAAGAGGAGTTTTCTGGGAGACTTTAAAATAAAATAAAAACATGTACTACTTTTTGTCCCTGTAATGATTCAATGCCAGAAGGAGGCAAGTACTGAAGGGACAATTCTCATACTAAAAAAAGAGAAGCTCTAACTCATCTCACCATCTCTTATCAAGAATCTGGGGAATCTCAGAAGTAGAAAATTAGATTCAGGGACCCTGGAGGCACTTTAAAGCCTTTAAAAAAATTACAGTAATAAGTTAGCTATTGCTCTTCAGAGGCTCTCAGAGCAGCTGACGCATTCAAACCAGGTCTTATGCCCATATTGCAGGTTCTTGAGCTGCTCAGCCCTCTTTAAAGCTTAGATGAATCTCCAAATACCTTTAAAAAGACATACAATTTAACACAGACTCGGTGTTTTTTCTTTTCCTTTTTTTTTTTTAAGTGGTAGCATGGAATTTGGTCCACAATGGTAGCAGCCATCTTCATTCATTCATTTCAAACTCAGATAACATTAAATATGTTAAGACAATACAAAAAAGGAAAAATACAACAAAGGGAACAGGCAGAGCTAAGGAACACCTCAAGGAGTCACCAAGTTCTCACACCCTTTTCATCTGGCTCGCCTTCAGGCTGTCGCTGTGGAGAAGGGCACTGCAGAACTTCTTCTCAAAGATGCTCAACAAAATGCTTATCAAGGGACTTGGAAAATCTGACCCATGGAATTCAGAACACATATAGACAGTTCAGAGGTATACTTCTGATTAGGGAAAAATTTGAGACTAAAGAAATCATCTCAGGTAAATGATGTAATAGATAAAACCAAGTCCAGTTTTTGGTGACTTTTTTTTTTTTTTAAGTGTTCTCACTACCACCTTCAGCTGTCAATCATTTCTGAAAGCTCCAGCAGAAGGTCATCTTCGTCCTTCCCAGGATCCAGGTCAATCTCAGCTTCTAATTTGCCACCTGAAATCTCCCATATTAGTTTCTCAAAATCATCCTCCACAGACAGTGGGGGCTTTCCTGTTGAGGCAGAGCTGAGTCGGCAAGTTTTCGTGGCTACCTGGGATGAAGAAGGGCCAGATACTTCTGGGGGTGAGGGTTCTGAAGAAGACTGGGTTGGAGGCAGCACAAAACTGTCTTTAGGTTTTTCTGGCTCCGTCTTGGGGGCTACTGTATCCTCAGAGAGGAGCGGGACAACAGCCATGGTTGCTTTCTTGGCTGGACTTTCCTGCAGGACGCTGCTGAGTGGCTTCACAGCTGCAATGACGGCAGGGTGCACCTCTGCAGCCTTGCGTTTTGGCGCCAGCTTGGGAGGTGAAGTAACTTTGACTACAGATGGCTTCACATTTACTTTGGGTTTAGCTTTACCCCTTTTCTCCAATGTCTGTGCTGCACATTTCACATTCAATATGGAGTCCCCAATCCCGGAGGTTTCTACCTCCCCTTTCTGGGATGGCTTTGTGGGAAGCCGCTTGGTCAAGTGCCAGGCAATGCCTAACGCAGCTGTGAGCACTGGTTTCTCCATGTGGGTATTGCAAGAGGCAACATCTCCCCGGAGGGGCGTGAGGACAGATTTCTCCTTGTGTGAGGCCCCCCTCTCCTGCGGCTTCTGCACGAGCTTCTCTCTCAGGGTTTCACATTTCTTGGCTGGAACTTTAGTGATATCAACTCCAGTGGACTCATCTAGAGCCTCATTAGCCTCTGCCACAGTAACACTCATCTGAGAAGCAACTTCACTTCCTTCCTGAAGTCTCTTCTCGTCTTTTGTACCTGTTCTTTTGGTGATTCGCAGAAGCCGTCTGGCTGTGGGGGTGGCCTCCGGTGGAGGCGGGGAGCTGGCACTGCTCTCTGAGCTCTGTTGTGCCCTCAGTGCCTTCTCCAGCTTAATCTCCTCCAGTGTCTTAATGTGCACTTCCTGCATGGACCGTGCTCTTCCTGCAGGCTCTTCTGGTTGCCCTGTGCTGACAACCACCTGTGGTAAAACCACTGGCTTTTTTACATCAGTGTTACTCTTTAGCTTAATGCAAGTTGCGTCCTTTTTGCAATTTTGTCTCTCGGTTTCCTGCTGCCGATGCTTTTTATCAGCTAGGACCTCAGAGAAAGTTTTAATTCGGACAGCAGAAGAACTTCTTGTTCCTGAAGTAGAATCTTCAGCTTTTGAAGGTCCCTCTGTCTTGAGTTTAGTTTGTAGTTCTCCACGTTTTTGACTGGCTCTTTCAAGAAAAATTTCTTCTAATGTTTTGACATGGATCTCACCAACTTTATTAACTCTCTCTGTTGTCTCCTCACTGTTTGGACCAGCTGACATACCTAAACGCTCCTTCAAAGACTTGGAAACTTGAACTTTCTTTTGTGTTTTGTCAGGGTTAGTGTCTGGCACCTCCACTTTCTTCCCGAGCCTCTGTGCTAGGCTCCGCTTTAATGGGGGATCATTGTCCCCACCCACTGAAAATTTTTGTTTTCCCAGTCTCTCTGTAAGACTCAATCTAACCAAGGGTTCTTCTCCTTGTTTGCTTGACATAGTTACTGTCCTCACCACAGTCCGGACATTCTCTTTTTCAGGACCTGGAATGGGCTGAGGCTGGAGTAAAAGACTGGAAACTCCTGAAGAACCTTCACCTTGCTTCTTGGATTTTTCCTTCATTTTCTTTGATTTAATTTCCTCAAGAGTTTTTATTCCAAAATTCAAACATTCACCTTGCTTTAAATTTGCTCCAGGTTTCCGGGCAGAAGCCAGTCGTAATCCATTATGGACTTCAGGAGTTGGCTGCATGGGGGGTGTTTTGGTATCATCGCCCTCCTCAGAAAGCTGATCATCATCATCTTCATCATCATCTGCAGCATTGATTACCACTGGTGGATGTGTAGGGCTTGGCACATTTTCAGAACTTTCTACTTTCATAACGCTCCTCAGCTGAGGAGAGGGGTTAGACTGCACAGACAGTTTGTTCTGCTGAACTGTGAGTTGACTGGCCTTCACTTCCTCTTCTGGTGACTCTGGCACAGTGGGCAACACAGTTTTGCTTGGAGGTAGGAATAGGCCTTCAACGTAGCGTCCTCTGTTGTGATGGAAAGCGCAGTTTAATTTTTGACATCCCATAGGCTGATTTTCCCAGTAACAAGGAATTTCACTGCGTTTTTTATCAATCTCCATGTGGCGAAACCTGCACACCTGTCGAAAACAGCGCCCTTCTTGCCATAATGTGCAAACAGTTTCATTTCCTAATGCAGCTTCACAGTGACGGAAAGGGCAGCTGTCACCTTTGGTACATGTCGAATAGAAAAAAAAATAGCAGTCTTCTCCTTGGTTAGGCATGATGGGAACAATCTTGACCAGAAGTGGCTTTTTGAAATAAGCCACTGCTTCCAAATGGTAAGGACCAGCTCAAAGTCCTCTTGAAATGGGTTTAATCTTCCAAATGACAACTCAATCACAGAATTCGTCTTTAAACATAACCCAGAGAACAGAAACTTTACCGAACCGAGGACACTATCTCCGATTCCCGCCTGCTGCCACGTCTCTCTTCTTTCTCAGCCGCGGCTGCCCGCCTTCCACACGCCAGCCACAGCCAGCAGAAATCCCGGACTGCCAGCGTCAAAGATGGCGCCCGGCTACAGGTTGAGGTCTAAGGCCCCCGCCACGAAAAGTGCCAGCGCGACGCAATGCGCAAGGGATTCTGCAAGATCTGTTTTTTTTCTTTAAAATGACCTCAGCTTATTTTCTTTGCAGATTTGTCCTTTGTACTTACTTGGTAGAATCTTTCTGGCAGATCAGAAGCTCCAACAGGAAAAGTACATGTGGTGGATAAAAGCAGTGAGGCTGTCCTAGGGATTCTGTACAGTACTGAAGTACCCTCAGGGCTTCCAGGATGCTCTTGGCTTGGGCTTTCTTTAAGGAAAGAACTTTTACAACACTGGAGACAACTCAAGTCAGAATATGCGGGAAGCTGAGTTAGGGTAGGAAAAAAAAAAAACACCTATCCTCCACCCAAGATCTGAAGCTTTATGAATAAAAAGCAATTACTGCTGCTGGTGTTAAACACATCATGCAAAGGAGAATATTATACTATCTACTACTTTTACTTAGCAGCATTAAGAATCAATTGCACACAAATTGTGTGAAGGCACAACTCATTTTGAAAAACTAATTCTGAAAAACTTTGATATATTTACTTGTCTATCAAGAGATAAAGCTTTAATTCATAAGATTAGGAAATTCCTCACTAACTTTCAGGGAGGTAGGTAGGCCCATGGACTGTCAGAAAAGATCAAAACCTGAATTTATCCCAGGGCTAACAATGTTTTAAGTGGCAGCTACCAAAGGAAATGCTTCCTTAAGAAAACAAAAACAAAAAACAACATTACTGAGATATATTTTACATGCAGTATAATACACAAATCTTAAATGAAAAACACTTCTTTAAGGGAAAACTCACCACTTTTTTATCTTGAATATTGTAAAACAAATTTGGTTCTATCCTAAATATCACTTGTCCACTGTTAACATGAACTTCAAGCCTTTGCCTCAACTGGATATCTCTGATTTGAAAAGAGAAAGTACTGGGAGAAAACGACTGGCTCACCTCTCATGTGAGAGTGATTGATCTTTAATGAACTCCATGGCATCCTTAACAATGGATATTTCTCTTTTACTGTAGGCAGTGGTCTAGCTTCTTCCATGGATCTGAAAGAGAGTAGCTGGAGTCGCCTTCAGGTGAAGGGTGGCCGCCGGTGGGTGTGGAAGGTGAGGAGGGATCCTCAGCAGTGGGCACTTCTGCAGAGGGAGGCCCACTACTTGGTGGCAGCTTTGATGGGACTTCCCAGTCAGGACTGTTGTCTCCAGCAGTTGAGGGGCCTGCTTCTGTGGAAGATGCTGAGGCTTGGAAATGCTCCTCTACCATAGAGCTTGTTCTCTGGTGCCTGTCTAGTGGCTGGAGATGATCGGTTTCATTGACAGTCACCAACTTGTCTAAGGTTTCTTCTGAACTTTTGCCCATAGGCAAAAATTTTAGTAATAGAAGACTTTTCTGAATACATTCTTTTGCTAAGTGCAAAAAAATAAAATGATAGAGAGATAAATAAAAAATTAAACTTAGTAATTACTTTCAGAGAGAAAAATAATCTATTTGTACTTCATCTTCATGAATTCTGCATCTACTGATATAATACAATCAAACTGTAATTATATGAATCAAGATCATGCCAATACTTTTTTAGAGCTTTATTATAGTGAACATTTCAAATATATATGAGGAATTGTAAAATGACTATTCTATATACCCACTGTCTCAATAATGATCAACTCACAACTAATCTTGTTTCCCTCACTCCCAAGTTCTGATGATTTCCATGCAAAGCCCAAGCATTACACTTTTTTACCTGTAAAAGTTTCAGCCTAGCTGTCTACAAAAATACATTTTCAAACATATTTTTAAAAAATTAATAGCAATTCTTTCATAATTCTTTGAGCTGCATACATGAATCTGAAGCCTCTTAAAAGAAGCAATTAGAAAGATGTTCCACTTGGAGCATGTTAGTAAACAATTAGTTCTTTTTGGCATTTTCTCCATTTTTATATATCCTTGAAAACAACCTTAAGCATCTTTCTTTATCACTTTTCCTATGTCAACACAGCCTCAACAAGAATTACCAAGAAGTCAGGCATAATTTCTCTCAGTTCTGGATGAAACAAAAACAAAACACCTGATGGACCAGTAACCATGGCTAGTATTGGCTCACTCGGTTCACCTCTACAGCTTCTGAACTGAGTTTTTCTTCAGCCTCATTCCCAGGGCTCATCAGGAACTTTTGATTCATCTCTAACTGGGGAGTAAGAAGATTTGAAACACATAATTAAGCTGTCCTGATAGAGCAGCAGGGCAGCACAGAAAACTATTGCAAAAACACACAGTGTTGAAATTATAGAAGACTTTGTAACTATTACCCAGCTGCTTAGGACGTGGGCTAAACTTGTTTTCTTCATCCTTTGAAGCTGTCCACAAAACTACTTTTGAAGACCTGTCTACAAAACTCCCTCCTCTACCGCAAGTGGAAGGAATTTATATACATGACTATATTATATCACAAAATTTAAAATACTGGTGCTGAAGGAGATTTTCTCTAAATCCTACCAGTAAAGACAAAGCAGCTGAGGTCTAGAAAAATGGAGGCCTTACTACAGTCATATATCTAGTTTGCTTCAAAACTTGTTCTAATTTTTTTGTCTGTATGTGGAGTTCTGGGGCTTGAAATTAAGGTCTGGATGCTGTCCCTTAGCTTTTTTTTAGGGGGGGGGTCCGGTCGTGGGTCCTGAACTCTGGGCCTGGGCGCTGTCCCTCAGCTCTTCAGCTCACAGTGCCACTTCCAGCTGTTTTCTTTTTGCTTATGTGGTGCTGAGGAATTGAACCCAGGGCCTCAGGCATGCAAGGCAAGCACTCTACCACTGAGCCACCTTCCCATCCCTCCCTTAGCTTTTTTATTCAAGGCTAGTGCTCTTCATTTGACCCATAGCTCCACTTCTGGATGTTTGGTGATTAATTGAAGATAAGAGTCTCATCAACTTTTTTTTTTTTTTTTTGCCTGCACTGGTTTCAAATCATGATCCTCAGATCTGAGCTTTCTAAGTGCAGGATTACTGACACCAGCTTGTTCTTAAATTTTGAACTCTGTTCTACCCTGATGAGGGGACAACGCTAGGTGATGCTGAGACTTCAGGCAGAGGAGGGTACTATGAGAACAGATTGAGGCAATGATCACAGCATGGGCCACAATGCTGACAGCCAGGCAGAAGGCACAAGAGAGGCCAAGGTCTCAAACAGAAAGCCAGTATCTTGTGTGTTGGCAGTCTATTCTAGGCTCACTAGAGCATTATCTATTGCATGCTTTTCAATAGCCAAAAAGTTTTCACCTAAACTATGTGGCTGAGTTTCTTAGAAACTCTTTTCTTTCAAATCTTACCACTTGGTTTCTCTGTTAGCATACTTTTTTGATTCTTGTTCTACCACGTTTTATGGTGAGTACTCTACCTCTGAATTAACTCATCCAGCTGATTCTCCTCCTACTATCTGATGATGATGCCTTTTAATTTCTCCTAAGAGATTTTGTTTACTTTAGTTTCTAACTATCCAGTATAATTTGGACACTAACTATGGTCTACTCAGACCAAGGCTGTGTTTGTAAACTCATACTTTTAATAAAAATAACTATTAAAAATAATTTAAAGTTACCCTCTGTCTTCACATGTCTCTGACACATCGGTCACTTAGATTATCCACCAACTTCTCTAGCTAGATGTCTCAGATAACAGGTCGAAAGCTTAATTTCTTTCCTAATTCATAAATCAAAGATTGCTTTTCCTATCCTGATCATGGCTTTTCCTTCCTACTAAGTAATCCATCAATGGTTGATCTATCCTAAATTCCTTCTTCTTATTCACTACTCAAATCCTTCACAAAGCCCTATGATTATTTCATCTCAGTTGCAAAAGCTATTCTTTTTTCGTTACTATAATTAAGTCTTTTGCTTTCAATTTCTTTTTTTTCTTTTCTGTCAGTACTGAGCCTCTCAAAAGGTTTTGCTCAAGGCTGGCACTTTACCATTTGAGCCACACCTCTACTGGCTTTTTGCTGATTAAATGGAGACAAAGGTCTCCCCAATATGTCTGTCTAGAACTGGCTTTGAACCCCAATCCTTGGATCTCAGCCTCCTGAATAGCTAGGATTACATACATGAACCACTGGTGCCCACCTGGCTTTTGCTTTCAATTTTGTTATCCATTCTCTACCCATTTGCTTAAATTTTTTTCTCAATTACTATCCAGGGTTAAAGATGCATACAAATATATACCATGTGAGTTCAAGTCCCATACTGGCAAAAAAAGTTATAAATAATATGAAGACTATCACTACTTTCATACCTAAGAATCAAAAACAATTCTCCTGATTTCAGTGTTCAGCATTTCTATGTATTTGTATAATTATATCACACATTTATATATAACATGAAAATTTGGCTCGTATTAAAACATATAAGAATTATCATACTTAAGCATATTTATACTTTTCTTTTTTTCTTTTATCAAATCTATTGAAAGATAACCTTGCAGATACATGTGGCTTTATTTCTTTCACTTTTGTTGTAATGTAATATTACTCATATCACATATTAATATACAATTCCTTTTCTTTTCTTTTTTTTTTTTTTTTTTTTTTCAGGGGGCTTGAACTCTAGGCCTGAGCGTTGTCCCTCAGCTCCTCAGCTCAAGGCAAGTGCTCTACCACTTGAGCTACAGGCCACTTCCGGTTTTCTGGTGGTTTATTGGAAATAAAAGTTTCACAGACTTTCCTGCTCAGAATGGCTTTGAACCGAGATCCTCAGATCTCAGCCTCATGAGTAGCTTGGATTATAGGCATGAGCCACCGGCACCCAGATACAATTCCTTTTCTTCTCCCCACCAATAGACA